GCTCTCTCTGAATCTCTCCTTTTATAAAAGGAAGCAGGGAAGAGGAGAGGACCCTGGGGAATTGATGCACGTGCACATACACACACATAAACACACACACAGATCAACTTTTATGTCTACGTAGTTGGCGCTTTCTTCAATACACACATTCATTTGATCAGATCAACACTGCCGCAGAGCTCAAACCACACACTCATGCTAATAAATACAACAACACAAGTTTGTGTCTCAAAGAAAGGCCCAGTAGTATCATTACACCAGCACAGAGACGCTTGGCTTTTGGCCTGAAAGACTCCATCGTCCTTTTTTTTTTGGCAGGGGGACAGAGGGGGGGTGAGCTAAATGGAATCCCGTCCCCCAGGGGCACAGCAAAGGCAGAGCAGTGTTGAAATAAGTGATTCATGCTTTTATCATCCCAGGTGAACAGTGCTGCTCTTTCAGCTATCACAATCAGTTTCTCTGGATAAGCGTAGGACAAAAAATTGCGAAATCAACACTGTTTATTTCTACATTTGTTTTGGATCCAGAAGTTTTTGCCATTGTGTGTTTTTGTAGCAATCTACACTGTTCAGAGTAAGACCATGGTAAACCAGGGAAGACTGGGGAGTACACTGTGCAAAATGATAGCAGATTTCACTTACACATGTCAAGACTGCATCCTGTAGCACTACAATATGATCGTGTTCATTTAAGCTCAATTATGAAGCACTAAAGTGATGCAAAATGAACCATACTTTTGATTTTTAGTAGCTATATACAATGTCTGCAGGTACCCTATTTTTATACCTAAATATATTTTCTTTCTCATCATAAGCAAACAGAGTATGTTTAGGTTTTGGGATGCTGTTTGGACAATATGACTAGTTTGATTATTTCACTTTGGGATTTAAAAATTTGAGTTTGTTACACACCATAGTAGAGAATCAAGTTAAAAATATATATATATCCTCAACCAACAGCCGGACATGTTAACAATAATCAGTTAATCATTGAAATGAATGAAATAGATTGGTTGTTTTTCCATATGCTGATAAAACCCATTTTTAACCAGTGACACCCAAAATGCTACAAAATGGAACAGTGCCACAAAGTAGCTCAGTACATTAGGAATCTGAAGATCAGATAAAGTAAACACCAGGCTACTTGAATTATAAACTAAACAGCAAAAAATAATGTCTTAATTTACAATATTTTGGCCCTTAAAAAAATTATACATATTGCAGTTTCCACAATAAATAACCTGTGACGTTATTGATTTTTTTTAACAGCAGTTTTACATCAAAATAATACTTTAACTTGATCTACGTGGTAACTTTAGTCTAGCTGCTGGAAAGAGACGTCCCCTCATATGGTCGCATCAAATCTATCAGTCGAAGGCTGTCAGAACAGAGCGTTGCTAATCACTTTAGTTTGAATGTTGTAGGAAACATGTGAACAGAGTTCTGCTGCTATTAAAAGTCCGCATCTATAGCTGCTTTCTGCTGACAGGCACTTAGCTCCCAACCCATGTTAGCATTTGAAAATTCTTTTTAGCGTTAAATATAAGCCTCAGGTAGCTATCGAAACCAGACAGCTGCCAGACGTCTTTATTTACAATTTGATGCTGCACAGTTCAGTAACGTAGTTGCCAAACTTAGCAGTGAGGCACACTTATTTAATCCGACCTCTACACGTGTTCAGCAAACACACCTTTAACTCCGTTTCACTGAACTGTATGAAGCTCCACCTGGTGGAGCAAACAGGTACTACAGCAGAGCAACAAAACATTTTCTGACATGCATGTTCCTCGTCTTCTGCTTTAACTGTTAATATATTTCAATGAACCAAATTATTAACAGCAATAAAGCCATTTACAATCAATCACTAAAATTGCTACTTTATAGACAAAATGATTCATCAATAAATTAATTGACACTGAACATAGCTGTTAGTTGCATCCCTAGTTTAATTTATCTTAGCATTTTTTATTACCACGTTTGCAACATATATTCAAAGTGTAGTTAAAGTTTAGATCCAAAATATGCACCGAATATAAAAATAAAACCAGATGACATGGCATCTACAGGCCTTATAGTTTTTTTTTAATACTGTAGTGTACTGTAGACTTAAAACAACATGCCCATGTGAACTTAGGAACACGGCAGGAAAATACCCCATTAATATCATCATTTGAATAAGCTGTAACTGACATGAATTCAAGCTGACTGCAGCTCTTCTTCTTTATTTTTCATCTTTCAAACCGAGAGCAAATGCTGCGTTTGATACCTTCGTCATATAGTGCATCAAAGCTCTAGCTTTTTGGATATCACTGGAGTTGAACACTGAATGGAATAAGCTATGCAGTAAAAGGCAGTGCTTTATTAAAAGCAATCATTTTTTGCCAATTGTCACACTAATTAGTAAATGCCACCTGTAATCCTCCACATCCACGATCAAACACAGTGAGAATGATGGCCAGGCACAACACACATACTTGAAGCTTTCTACTAACAAATTACCTTCCAGTAATAGGCAAAGTTTGGCTGAAATGATACACAAATGCCAAGATGACAGGCAACACAGATTTCAGCTTTCAACTTCAAAGACTGTGACAGTGAAACCAGCATACGTTACAACTTTCAGAGCAAAGACAGAAAGCTTCAACTGTAGCCTTTCAATACTGTAGAAGAGAGCCATGATACCATTAACAAGCCTGTGGTTATGGAGCCCCTCCCTGTGTAAAGCCAGAACCATTTACACAGTATGTGGGGGCAACAGGCTGTGTTTAGGCTCTCTGATGCCTCTAACCGTTACTGTGAACTAGGTCTGCCACCGGCTAAAAAAGACCCTTATGGCACTTTAATTTTCTGTTAAACCTCTCTCGCCCAAGCACGCATGTCATCTTTCTCTCCCACACTGACCCCCCGCTCCCTCTTCCCCTCTTGCAGAAAAACACACACACACACACAACCAAACACACATGAATCTGGAGATATCATCTGGACAGGTGGCCAGCCACCCAGACCTGACCCGCCTGCCCTCTTGCTTGCTCCCTCCCTCTGCCTCCTCCCCTTAAACCCCCCAACTGAAATCAGTTCAGGTCTGCTGGAAAGCCCCAAATGAACATGCACAGCTAAACCACCCCCCTCAAATCCACCTCCCCTTCTCCTCCTAGCACGCACACACACACACACACACCTCCAACAAGCCCTGCAAATGTCTGTCACCCACTGAGCTGTCTGTGGGGATTATTGCCTCAACAGTGCAAAAAAAAAAAAAAAGGTTTGTGTCTAGCTAATGTACAGGCAAATAATTTTAATCAGGGTTTACTCCATAGCCTAACTATAGCAGAAAAACAATCGGCTCATTTGAACACAGCACCCGGTCCAAGCTATAACCTATCAATGTCGAAAAATATGCTCACATTGCTTATAAATAATGAGCAACAAAACAAAGCAGCATTTGTCTACTTCAAAATATATATATCGCTGACATCCTCTATCAATTCAGTGAACAATTTGAAAATGTCAGTCAAATTTCCCTTTGAAAGCCTTGAGATGTACGAGATGCAATTAAAGACTAAGTAGAATTAAAATAATAATAATTCAGAGCTGCAAAAATTAACCAATTAACCAATCTGTTGCCAACTTATTCATTAAATGTTAACATTTTTGATAATTAAATCATCAGTTCAAATGCATTCAATGAAAAAACGCCCAAATGATCAGAATCTAGCTCCTTAAACAGCTTCTGTCTTCTTTAGTGACAGCAAACAGAATCTCTTTGGGTTGTGGACAGAAGAAGACGTTTTTTTGTTATTATTTGACATTTTATAGACAAACATCGAATCCATTAATCAAGAAAACAATCAACAGACTAATCATCCATGGCAATAATATGAAGATGCAGCGCTGTTGTAAATAGTGAAAAAAAGCAACTATCTCCTAGACAAAAACAGAAACACTATACATTTACATAAACAGTGTGTCATGACATGGCATTCAGAAGCTGCTTATCTAATATTTAGCCTTCATCTGGGAAGAGATTTTCACATTTTGCGGCTCAACATAAGTCATTACACCGAGACTGCAAATGGGAAACTATACTAAGAGCGACGGTTCATTAGAAGGACTTTGATGATTTTTTTACGCGATGATAGGGTTAAGAACATATGGCTGCCAGTGTTTATCGGTGAATTTTGTCCTTAGATGCACTCAACTTTGGAAAACCTCTATTAGAATAAGGGTTTCGGGAGCTCCATGTCGCCGTTTATCTAGTAAATACTATTCTCCAGCACTACACGCAGGGAGCTCAAGTCCTGATACTTTTCACGCTATTCGCTGTGTGTGGTGCCCTTAACCTTAAATACTCACAGCTAGCACGCCGTGGAAAGCGCAAACTACATCACGGCGTCAGCAAATACAGTCAACATTTTAAAAACACTGCCTTGGTCACAAAGCCGCAACGTGTTTCAGTCAAATATCGCTAGCTGGCGTCCATTATCGGACAGCTAACTGTGTTGATTCGTGGACCCAATTGGTGAACGTGCTGCCCGGCTAGCTGCTGAGCACGTTTCGAAAACAAATGCAGTACTGGGAATTACACGAGTGCTTTCAGTGTATGCCAGTCGGGGGGGAGGATACGGCATATCAGCGTTAAATTGTCTTCAAAAACATGCATTGCTGGTGGCGTTTAGCTCTCTGGCTAGCCTGGCAGCTAACTGCTCGCCGTTGTCTGGGAGAAAAGACCACCGGGGGTGAAGTATCGCTTAGCTGGGGCTAGCTCACCAAACACTGCAGCAACAGTCAGCTCAGGCAAGTAACGTTAACTGGTGAAAGAAAAAACACTCGCACGCAAACACGCTGAGACAAAGAAGCGACTTCTGGCGACTAAACCAGTGGTCAAAACGCTGCATTGTGACCAGGCTACATCATGTGCACTAAAATTGAGCTATTTCACAGCAATAACTTATATTCTCTTCAACTCCGCTCCCCACCGCCAGCCCCGAATCTCAGACTCACCCTGTCACAACAGGCGCCATCTTCCACAAACTCTCACCAAAACTCCAATACTCGCGATATCCTTTCTCTCCCACAGTCCAACAATCCGCCGAGACAACAGAAGCAGACTGGAGGTGCAGGGACGAGGGAGACGGAGAGAAAGGGGGTGGGTGAGGAAGACAGAGAAAAAGGGGAGGCGGCGGGTAACAGCAACACAGAGAGAGAGAGTGAGCGAAAAGGGCAGACGCCACAACAACAGGCGTGGGAAACTTCCAAGATAGCGCGAGATTAGGAAAACTCTCACAATAGGCGAGCACAGAGGGAGCGTCCCTTATCGCGAGATGTGCGTAAAGTGGAGTAGTTGTTTATCTTGTGGCGCTGAAATACTATTCCCACGTGTTTACCGGGTAATAAATTACTGCACCGATCGGTTAGGAGGGGGAAAACCGCTAGTGGCGAGGAAAGCCTCGCTTTTTCCCAGGCTCACACACATTTTGTTGTATGCATCCTGTATTCTCATGGCGTCTCTGCAGTTTGCAGTATTAACAGCTGCATGTAATTACAGCCAAAATATTATGCATGTATACTTCCCGAAAAGCCTGAGAGGTGATGAGCCTGCAAGGACACGCTGACTTTACCTAAGAGCAGAAATTAGTGGAGGGTTTGTGCACACTAAATTTACAATTCCCTTGGGTTACATTTCTGTCCCTGTTTAGAATGTGGAAACAATGGTGTGAACACATGTGAATGGGCCATACAGGGCAGATTAGTGCATTGCCATCACATTGGGGAGTCCCATGACCACCCTCCACACCAAACCTCAGTCAAAAGTACAAGGGAGGCTATTATTTAGAATGATCATGCTTGGAAATGTGGCATTGGCTTTATTAGCCTTTCTGTTTGCCTCTGTCTCTCCCCCAGCCAGAGAGAATTTCCAAAAGTTTAGCTGTTATATCACTCACAGAGAAAACAGGTCAGGGCATTCTTGTTTATCTGGGAGGGGTCGGAAAAGCCATAAACCTTCATGTAGGTCCCCATCCCCTTTTGTGTTGTTGTCTCTGCACCCTTCATTTAAATCTGTTTGGCATCTTTGTTCACCTAACAAGTGACTTCTGGTGGGAGTTTTTCCAACTTCAAAGAAAAAATTAAGGCTTCGGAGACCACACTGATAGCAAGTGCTTTCATTTGTTAGAGGTTGTGTGTGTGATCTGCCTGTGGCTGTGTTGTGTGGGAAAAGTCGCTGTCGGTTGAGTGAAAAAGACCTAAAGAGACAAACACAAAGAGAATAGTTGGCAGAAGTGCTGTGATGTTTAAACTCGCTGAATGTTTTAAACTAAACTATTTTCAACTACAAGCTTACTTCTTCTTGAAACACGTGGGGCTGAGATGAAAGAAGTGGTTCAAGGTTATGAGAAGTATGCTTATTTGCTTTCCTGTTGAAAAGTATAAGCGACGTTTACACTTTGGTTTTTGTTCAAAGTGAAAAAGAACATACTAACCACAGAGTTTTGAGGGTGTTGGTTACTACCTCAGAACATAGCAAAACTGTTGTGTCTCCCTTTCCTATTTCTGCCTTTTTGTGCTAAGCTAAGCTAGCAGGCTGCATGGAGACTTCTGAAAACACTGCTCTCTGATTGGTCACACTCCGATCCCATGACAGTTTTGTAGATCAAAACAAAAACATCCGCGTTCGCTACCAGTGGTTATTTCAATAGCTATAACAAATTACAGACATTGTTTACATTGCTGTCTAAGCCATCAGCAGTTAAGGAAACCACTGTTCTTATTTCTTACCAGAGGCGTTGACACATTGAGGCCAAGCCCAGCAGCAACCTGATAATTGCACCATTTTCAAGTAATTTCCGAGCAAAACGAATACAAAGCGTGAGACACTGTCCTCGACGCAAAGAAAGCCCATCCCACTCTTTTTTAATGCTTAACTCATGTTCCACAGTAATATCACAGTGAGTGTAGGCTAGCTAGAACAAAGCATGCCTTGGAATTAGTCCTATTTATTTGATTTACACAGCTTGGATACATGTTTTCATAAGTTTAATTTAATAGCAATTGGGATGACCAACTCTTTAAATAGTCCAGGAGAAGAGATGCAGCTGCTGGTGAGGGGAAAAAGTTCACCCACAAACTACCATAAGACAGGACTCCAAATAAACAACTAATATTAATCAGAGCAAATCTGCTGTTGTGTTGCTGTCCACAAATTCGATCCATAACCTGATGATAGCTAATCTAACCACAGAAAACTTACTTACTTGGTAACCTGTTGCCAAATTTTGAAAGTCACTTTAATGATTAGAGAGGCCAATGTCACTGCATCTTGCTGTGAGTCTGTGAAACTGAAAAGTCTCAATAATAAAAACATTCAACATGACAGAAAAATACTTTGACTTTAGTAAACTTATACTGACAGCAACATAATATTTTTTTTAAAGAACAGTATCATATTATTTTCAAGGGGTTTAACGCATGATTGGGATGACAGATGATGAGATGCAGGGCCATTTTTTTTTATTATTCTTACTTTTGTGAAGAAAAAATGTAGATCTGGCGCTATTCGTGAAATATTTGTGGCTATTGCCTCGGCCAGATCTAATGACGGCACTGCTTTTGGCCATTGCTGTCCCTCCAACCTAGTATTTCCTACAACTAAGCAACCAACCCCCTTGCTTCCTATTCACACTGGCACCCACAGGCCTGTATGTGAATGGTCATGTGATGTGCCTTTTCTGGCATGTTAGTATGCACCGAGATTATTTCTGAAATGGTGCTAAAATGTTCATGTAGACAGAAGGATGAAGCCTAATGAGCACAGTTCTTAAAATATCTCAACTATTCTGTTCACTTCTGGAAATATGAATCAAGAGCAAAATCAAGAAATACAAGTGCATGAAATAATATTTTTGCCCACCTCTGTCCTTGACAAATGACCTCTCAGTGTCAGTGCACAACCACACCAAACAGCTTCTCCGTATAAAGTAGCGGATGTGATATCCCCAAGTGTGCACTGTTTAAATCTACACATTTCATATTTTTCAGATGCATAATTCATTTTTACGGAGCTTCATTGTTCTGCCAGAAAGATAGAAAGAAAGAGGGAGAAAAAAAGGGGGGGGAGGCGAGTAAAGAGTCGCAGAGATGAGGTTTTGCATGAGAGTGTGCCTGGCCCGCGGCCCGCACTATGAAGACGCAGAGACGAGGACCTCATCCTGCCCTCAACCATTTTTCCTTTCCCTCTCTTTTTTTTATAGTCGGCGGAGAACCTCCAGTTACACTCAGAGCTGAATGGGGAAGCATAAAGTTTCCTCAAATGTTTTACAGCTGAACACAGTAAAAAAAAAAAAAGAAAAAGCAGCAGTGACTATACAAATGCAAGTACTTTTCTGAGAAAATGAGAGCAAAATTTGAAAAGGAGAAGAGTCTTGTTCGCTTTTACATTTAAAAGCAATTTATTAGGAATTTAACTAGATTTGAACTCTGACCTTTTTTAGCCGTTGTAAAACATGACATGTTTAAAAGGCCACTCAAACACATGATTTAAGGCGTCTTTGAGGTTTTTGCTGTCATTTCTTTGCTCTCCTTTGCTTGTGATTTTTCTTCATTTTTCTCCATCTTCTCAATCTTCCCCCATGTCCTGTTCTCTCATTAGGACTAAAAACCATTTATTTTAACAGAGGCAGAGCCAATTCAAGCAATCATGACTAAGCCATAAGCCTCAGGTCTATAAATCCACTCACTTGACTGCTTAAGCTCATGGCTCAGAATGAAAGAGAGATTGAGATAGAAAGAAAGAAAAATCCTTGTCCCCATGTGGAAACGCCACTCAGTAATACATCATCCCATCTGTGTTGTCTCTGCTCGTCCTATTTGGTTAAAGGGTGGTGTTGCACCAATCAACAGTAAAGTCTCATAATTCCTTTCTTTGGAGTGCTAAGCTGAAATGGTGAAATTAACAAGTTTTGTTCTGAGGTCCAGGCAATTATCACATCCAGCTTATCCCGTAAAGCTGAAGCACTACTAGCACTTTTTATAAAAACAGATGATTTAAAAGGAGGGAAATTATTTTTTATCTGTAGATTTAAAGGGTGAAAACAAAATGAGGGGAAAAGTGAACCAATTAAGGAAGCGCAGTTTGAGTTTCCTGATTAGCAGCTCTTTGACTCAAAGTCATTTGATACAGCCAGAGGGTGGTGAAACTTCCTGAAACAAGCAGACACAGTAAAAGTGAGAAGCCGTGACAGACAGAGATAGGTGGGTCGAGAGATACTGGGTCAAATGTAAGACTGGTGAGCAGACAGAAACGCTGATAAATGTGGATGTGAAGGATGGGCTGGGAGCCAGACAGAGACAGGAAAGCAGACTTTGGCACGCCACGCAACTCCATTTACTGCAGTAAACAAACTCGTCTTTTCAAGCCTAGCAACAATTAGAGCCACTTGATAAAATCGTATCCCCTCAGTGAACATCACAAGAGTAAAAATCACAAATTAATCATCTGTGGCTCGTGTGAGTCTGAGTTCACAGCAGAGAAGGGTGTCTATCCATCCGTCCGTTATGTCCATCTGTCTTGCTCTCCGGCCACATGGGAAAACCCAGGGGTGGACAAGGGCAGACAGTCTGACAAATGGAAAGGACGATGAGTCCGAGCGAGGCACGCCTTTACTCCCCTCTCGCCCTCTGTTCAAAGCCTCCCACTTTTATCACATGACTGTCATTACAATTAGGTCCCAAAGACATCACAGAGTCTGACTGCTTTTATAAAAAAAAATGACAGGGTGATAAGTTTGCAGACTGTCAGGGGAGCTAAAGCGCCTGTTTTGCAAGCCGACTCTTTTGAAAGAGAGGCGAATCAGAGGCATGAGGAAAGAGACGTTTCCCCTTTCCTGGGCTTGAACGGTTCACGGTGAGTTCAAGCTGCCAAACGTACGGTGGGGTGAGAACTGCACAGACACGCTATTTGGCAGCTCTGTCATAGCCTGTATATGACATTGGGGGGAAAAAAACCAGCGTGATTGATTAAATTATACCACAGTGGCTCTGTCACATCTGCCTTCAGAAACACAATCCGTGGCTTATGGCTTTAATGAAAGCCTTTATGATCTGCTGTTTGACTGATAACTGATAGCACCCCCAATTTATAATGAAGAGCGAGCAATCCACAAGGTGTATATT